AATGGGCGGGGTGACCCAGTTCCGACGGACGCGCGAAATGGACGTTCCCCCCTATTCTTGTGGTATGAGTGGTTAGCCCTGCTGAATGAAACGCATAGTCACGATAAGGGTGAAGCCGCTCCAGGGCATAACTACTACTGCTGGAATGCATGGGCCTCCTACATGCAGGGTATGCTTGACATCGTCACCCTACGAGCTCAGGTTCTTTCTGAGTCATTTTAATAGGGCAGAAGGTTTACCAAGAAAGGTAAAGTTCGGTACTGCTCTACAGTACTCCACTGTACTCCCGCAGAGTATTTGTTGCCATAGAAAAACCTTGGAACTATATTTTGCTTTTATGGTGTTGATAACTGGGTTAAAATTGTAAAAAGTAGGTAAAGGTAAGGTAGAGTAAACAAGAGTAGTAATAACAACAACAGAAACTCACAAGTTATGAAAGCAGCTTGTTTGGGAAAGACAAAATTCGGTACGATGGCAGCAATTAGAAGAATGGCTACCGATTTCGAGATGACGCTTGACGGTGACAAAGCACTGGTGAGCGATAGAAACCCGAGAATGAGCGAGAAAAGTGGAAATGACAGCTGACAAATCTGAAAAGCGGGTTGATTCTGTGAGAACCTTCTGGAGAGCTTGAAAATAGACTTGAAAGGCTGGAGGGGGTTCTGTACCGCACCATTTCGATTATGGTACTGGCTGACTGGACAAAAGTCCAAAGGAGTACGATTCGGGACACGTCCGATACCAACAGAACTCCAGCGATAAAGATCTAAAACGAAAACTGGTTAGGTTTGGCTAAGGGGTTTTTGGGGACGAGTTTCGGTAGACCTGGATGTATGCCATGACCCGAATGAAGTAGATCGCTTGCTGATATGTCTGAACCCGGCGATCGTAGTCTCTGGACTGTGCCTTGAAATCGCGATAGTAATCAGAATAGTCATCGTCATACTGCCGACGTGATATCATATAGGGACTTCTGAAATCAATATCAATCAATATATCAACAATAAATATTTCCATGAAACCTGAAATCAATATTCAATAGCATATTGAAGGATAAGTGACTAGGGCTAATCGGACCGCTTAGGTGTGCGCCCTGCATTTGGCTTTCGTTCAGAACACCATCAGTGTTGGAATGTGTACTTGGACGGTGCAATGTATTGTGAGGGCCAGCTCATGCATACCTCGGTGTTTTTCTTCACCAGTTCGGTATCGTTTACCCATTTACCACAATGTCGACGAAAGTTTCACTTGGTCAAGACAGGTCGGAGCCAGCTTTTTTCCCTTCCTACCATGCGAGCGGAAACGTCGTCACTTTTCGGCATTACCCTTTACTTTTTAACGAATTACCCCATCAGACCAGTCTGGTATCGATTACCAGACATAGGAGGGAGGGTGTATACTTGGGCAAGACTGACCCGTCGAGATTCCATCCTCTACCCAAGATTGCCATCGGTCTGGGATTATACCCCATAACCAAGACTGACATCGGCTCGGAATTCGGCCCCGTTACCAAGAAGTGCCACCACCCATGAGTAGTGGTAGCACGTCTCGGTGGGAGCCTCAGCTTTGTCTACTAGCCTGCATTACCCTACCAGACGAATTCAGATGAAGAGACAAATTGGCCAGACGGGTATCGATCCCATTTCACTCTCACATCATACTAGTGGTACCGATCATACAGTCCTCTCCGCAGGTAAAGCTGGACTAATCAATTTAACTCAGGGATGAGAGGCACAGTTGACCTTGCTGCTATCCTAACGCCTTATCCCCGACGTGAAGCTGGCTTAGGTGCTGCATAGGCCCTATCCCAACAGCTTCCGAAGAGCTCCAAAATTAAGTGAGCTCTATTATGCCTATCTTCTCATGGGATTTGAAGTTGGGAATTCTCTTGCAAAGTCGTGTCCTCGCCCAGAAAATATTCTCCGACAAAGCGAAAAAACTCCCCGATTCCCAAAAATAGGCATGCAATGAGCGTACGTAGTTGTTTTTCTCTGTTCACGACGTAGTTATGTAATTGTCCAACTATTGAAAAAGGACAAACTTCACCTCGTTTACAAGGGTGACCTTGCTGGCGACAAGGTTGAATTGAATTTCAGCAACTACACTTACAAACTATCGGATCCACGTCCGGAAAAAGAGTATCTATCTTCCAGGACCAAAGAAAAATCAGCAATCTTCAAAGTTCAAATCGAAAGGAGGCCCCCTATGACTTCTTCCGCACATATGAAAATAGTCTTCTTGGGAACGACCTAAGCTGCACATTGCTCATAGAAACGTACACTTTTCGGTGGAGCGTACACTTTTTTCTGGTAGAACGTGTCTTTAAAAAGGGCACGGTTTCCATCACATGCCTTTCCCTCGTGCCAATGATTATCTACTAAAACTGCTGCCGCTGAGCCTAAGTAAAAGTCAAGAAGAAGAGGAAAAGGATGGGAGTAGAGGGGAGGGGGAGATGTGAAGGGAACCCTTTGCGTAAGCGAATCTCAATCAGCTACTAAAAGGTGCGCGAAAGTACCGTCAAGGAGCATGTAGTACCGCTCGAATAAGGACCTTGACAGGACGAATAAGGAAACACCCTTAAGTAACTGAATATTTGGGATCCACGGCTTGGGGTTTGAGGTGTGCTTCCAAGCCCTGCTTTTGGTAGGCTCAGAAAGGTTCCTATGCAAACGCGAATCAATCCAACGAAAAGGGTTACCTGTGATATGGGGCAGAAATGTATGTAGGAAGTCGGGTTCCGTATTGTTGATAGTACTGAAAGTCATCGTCCATTTGATGGAGGAGCCGACCAGTACTCCCGACCTATCGGTTAGTCGTTTGGATATCGGAAGACGTAGAATTCTGAAGAGCNAGGATTTTAAGATGGTTTCCAAGGAATAAAGAGAGCGTAGACAATCAAGTATGTCGGGACGAATTTCGGATGCATGAAAACTGAGAATATCTTTACATTCCGTATGAGCGTAATTGTCTCTGAGACAGTTGAATGAAGAAAAAAAGAGGGAAAAAGATGATGAAGAGCTAAACGCTACGAAAGAAACAAATTCAGGAGAACTAGAGATCGAAGATATGTAGAGGGCCCTAGCTGACTAGTTCGACCTCCAAGAGTTAGTCGAATGGAGCTGCGATAGATTGGAGCCTGAGGCAAAGCTATAAGGACCATAATTGTTCGGAAAGCCTGGACATTGACTGCCAAATTGGCTACCCTCATCAAGTTGTTGTATAGCCCCTCGGGAATCCAAAATAGAAATCAGTTGCATGGCTAAATCCGAAACAGGGCGTGTGCCTGCCAATTAAACTGGTAAAAAAAATTCCGGATGAAAAGCAATTAGAAAGAAGTCAGTGAAAAATGGGTAAACTGTTCGTGTGAAGCATAGACATGAAGGGAAAATCGTCTGGGGAAGCTCCCATTTGTCCAGAAGCAACTTGAAGTAGGGGTATTTCTCAGAATGGGACAATAACATCGACAAGACCATCAATCGTCTCGTGTATGTCTTTGTATCGGTTAAAAACCTCTTGTAAATGTCCCTTTTCCGTGAGAAATGAAGTGTATAGCCAGTCATAATGGGAATGATCATTGCCGAACACATTATCGCAAGTTCCCTACATAATTACACCCGGGATTCACTGGGAATTTCTAGGTAATGGGTGAAAACGACTGACGATCACGCGGTTCGAAAGAAACCACTGGATCTAATGAAATCGGAGCCATAAACACATCAAGATAATTCAGATTCAGATTTGCATTTAAAGATTTGCATAACTGGAATTAAATTAGAATGAAATCACAAAAGATGCTAGACCATCACAATTACATGCACGCAGACCCCCTGTATTTGGAATTACAATGATTACGACCTTGTCGTCAAGCTAAAACATATCCTCATTTCTTGTTTACATACATAAATTAGGGCAGAAACGAGAACAAAACAATCTCAGAGAGCCTACTTCTATCTTCTCCTCAAATAACTCAAATTGCAAGTCAGAAGTGGCATTAAAAGAATCCTTTCCGTCTATTTGGCCTCCGTTCACTGTAGGTTTCCCATGTGGCGAGCCTATATTTTAAACATTCGATGGACAATAAATCTGGGAGTCCAGTTACCATTTACTCGAAGTTTCAATCGTTGCTATGCCACCTTTCGGGATTTCCATGCGTCGTGACCTGTACAAGAGCTGGGAAGGAGAAGAGTTTGGTGGATGAGATATGGGAAGGGAAGGGGTGCAGTCGAAGGGCGTGCCGTTCAAAATATTGTTATTAGTCGAATTCTGAATCATCTATCTCAATATGAATCAAACAGCACACTCAGAAAGGAAATTTGGAGCGAAATGACGTCAGTCCAGGGCCAAAGTGGAATCGCACCTCGAAGTTGGTGAGCGCTCCTTAAATTATGGGTACAGCTAAGAAAAAGAGACCGATTCCATCTATTCCGGGATTAAAAATGTCTTAAAGCCTCCAGGATTTCGCGAAAGAAGAAAAATGAAAGGTGAGAAACCTGTTCAAAGAACGATTTATAGAAATATCATTCTTAATATTTTGAAAACTTTCTTTTCATAAAAAGCCCTTCTAAGCAGGTTCAAATTTTTTTTTATTTCTTCCTAAGATTTACAATTAGGAAGTATTTCAAGTTGGGAAAACAAACATCGACTGCCACATATGGGGCTTTTCGCTAGGTTCAAAGGAAACACTGGTATATCTAAGGTATTCTGAAATCCTCTTTGAATTCCAAGAAGATGATACCTGCAGATTGAAAGGAAAATGAAAACACTATAGGAATTCAATAAGGACTGATCGATAAGTATAAATTGTATGTAAAGATGCGCTGGTCAGTTTGGCACGATCCTCTATGCCATTGACAGTGCGTGCGGGAATCGATCGACACTCCCTCCTTCTCGACAAGGTTTTTTCTCATTGAACCAGCTTACAAAAAGCCATAGCATTGAACGCGTAAGTTGGCTCAGTCTTGAAAATGTTCAAGTCAGTACTATAATATATAAATATTTTTTACTAACTGTTATTATTTTCTTTAGAATTTTCTACCTACAAATCCCGAAACTCTAACTGTGTTAGTCAGGAGACCACTCAATTGAAAATGCAACAAAAACGATCAGATGGAACTTCAAATGGTCTTTCTAGAAGATATAGGCTTGAGCTGTAAGCTTCTACTCACTAAATAGAGGGCAAAACAAGTAGTAAAATAAGATAAACAATAGTACTCGGTGATAAATTGTGATAACGGACAATGATAGTGATATGAAGATGAATAATAATAATTGTGATAATAATTGATAATGATGATCATTTGTGATAGGCAATGATAACAATGATACAACCCAGTAATAAGGAATGATAAAAATAAGAGTCACAGGTGATAACGAACGATAATAATAATAACAGTAATAATAATAAATGGTATAGAACAAATCTTAATAAACATAAGTAATAATTATTATTATAATAATCGTTGGGCAAACAATTATAACAAATTTACCAAAATCAGAAGACCGATAAGACTCTGTAGAGGTGCAATTAATGCTCGTTAGAAGAGATAATGATAGTATTATAGTAATAACGTATAACGCGATATAATAATGTAATATAATCAACAATAATGGTAAATTGAAAATATAATTGAAATTGCAGCGGAACCAAATGGTTGCAACCGTACTTAAACGCCAGAATGGTCAAGACTTTCTTGAGGATCTCGAAACGAAAGATGGCCCATGAGAATAGTTGAAATTTTACGATTACGGGCCTAAAAGGGTAAGTATTTCTGCTTAGCTGTCATGAGCCGATGGTTAAGAACTTACCCTTTTCGGCCTGCCATCGAAAAATAAAGGCAAGAGAAGGTCAACCAGATGAGCTCCTCCACCGCCAGGTTTTACGACCTCGTAACTTCAAGTCCTATCAAACTTTTCCTTTGGATCACTGCCAAAAATGTATTTATTGGAGTTGAATAAAGTAAAAATCAATCTAAGGCTTGGTCTTTGTGTAGGAATGAGTGCAAATGCAAAGATTCGAGAAGGAAGGCGAGACGGTTCCACTGAGGTAGGCTCAAAGACAATGTAATCGGTCATTACATTTTGAATAGACGCTAGAAAGTAGTAACTCTCGTCGGTTGTAAGTACGAAACGACATTTCGACAAACCATAGCCAAAGTGCTCTCATTAGCTTCCCTGGTTCGATTAATATTGCAAAAATAGTCCAATCGAGAGACAAATTGAAAAAAAATCACGTCGAATACAGTATGTTTGGGCAAAAAAACCCAATTTGTTAGTATAGTACACAGTAGACTGAAAAAAGTAAATACTTTTAGAACTCGAAATGTAGTGCAGTACAAGGAAGTCAATTCGGGAGCGCACTTTACGATCTATTTCGGTTGGCTGTCATCCCTCGTCTGTCTCGACTGAGAGGTCAATAGGCCGGCGGTAGAGCCTCGATTGCGGTAAAAGGAGGATGATGGGCAGATGAATGGTGGTTGTGGGAAGGCACGAACCAAAACGTAATGAAAGGCGCCTAACCGAAACCTTGAATGAAGATCGTCCACGATAAAAATCGCCCTGATCTAGGCCGAGTTAGCAGGGGCAGGTAGCGGTGTAAAATGTCGGAGCTAGAAGACCTGAACGCTCAGATGGCTTCAGTTGGGTTCATTGGAACATAGTCCACCAACGGTGGTCGAAGAATTGAGGAAAGCCAGTCTGGACGAAGGAGAGGGAATCGGGAACTCATTAAAGGTCAACGGTCTCGTACGGGTCGATTAGTGACGAATAGGAAATTCTGACACCTCCATATATGAATGGAGTGCCGGTGTGACGGAGGGGGGTAATATGAATTGGCCGAGGTAGCCATATGGAACGCGACGGACGTCGTCGCCGCCGTCGTCTATTCAGGGACGTTGACGTCGCCAAAAAACTGCCAACACAGTTCAACACCATTGCTCATACGCCATCCCAATTTGGTATGTCCCCAGTGGATTTTCCTGTAAGAAGCTGGAAATGGCACTTCAGCTTGAATTTCGCTTTTCAATCCGGGACCTCTCATCTCGCTCAGGCAAAAAGCATTTGGAATATAGTAAAGTCTAAAGTTTCAAAATAATTAATTACTCGGCGATGAGGCAGGAAATGAGCTTTGAGCAAAGGAAGAAAATCTTTCAGAACAGTAAAAAAGAAAATAAAAAGGTATCACAAAGGTTTGCAGGTATAGGTAAAAACTCGGTTCAGGACTGGATTTGAACCCGTGCTAGTGCTTTACGGGCACAGTGAACATAATTTTCCTACGTCAGGGAAAAAACCCTCCAACTTCATGATCAAAAGCTTGTTCACCAAGTCAAATGGGAAGTAACCCTACAACCACATAGCCAGGTCTTGAGATTGAAGTACTTTTAGTAATTCTTCCATCTCAAAAGTAGTCCAAAGGTCCTAACATTCCAAAATTCATCTTTTTTCCGTCTGAACTGGAAGTCCTTTTTATTACTTTAGGCCTTTTAGTTCGTTTTGCATCACACAAGGCTCCCCGAAAGGTAACCAAATAGATAAACAAAATCAATAAACAAGCAGAACAACACGGAAATCGTACTTGAACTATGCCGAAAATTTTTCGTTTAAAGACTTATCACGCTGCTCAAAATATCATCCAAATCCAGCTTTTTTGGTAAATGCTAATGAAGGAATGAACGGCTTTATTGGGATGCGCCATGCATCTGGAATTCCATAAAAATTTTGAGAGCATCTCAGGCATTTTTGAACTTTATTATGGCAAAAGCCGTAGAGGTAATACTTTCATAGAGGACTTTAAAAAAACCATTATAGAATTGAAGAGAAAGCATAACAACCGAAATTACAGTAACATGGGCTAACTGAATGACATTGGGCGTGGCTGAGGTAACGGGGTAAGGCGGCGCTTATGTAAGAGCGATTAGCGGAACAAAATCCGGGCACGGATCTCGCCTTCATCAGCTATCCAAACGATTCTCAGGCTTTTATTGTCCCAGCCTGCCTCTGTATTGCTCATGGGTGAGAAAAGTAACGCTGTTATCGCTTTCACGGTTGGGAAACCTTATTCTGCCTTAGCCATTCTACCCTTTCTACCTCATTTACCTGATTCTCGAATCGTCCGGGAACGGATACCACTCGCTTCTCCATCGGATAGCGTCCGATTCATTACATAAACTGATCAGTAGCCCCTCACTAGTCACTCCGAAAAGTCCCCTTCGGTAACCACCCAAGAAAAGTAACTTGATGGATCACAATGAGAGACGATCTTTCCAGAATTCGACTTCCAATTTGGCTGCCCCACAGAGTAGTCGAAGTGGGCCCTGAACAGCTAGCAGTTAGGCTTTTTGTTGAGCATACAAAGGAAATGCAGGAGTTTGCTAGTCTCACGATGGCACCACCATCGTAAAAACGAAGGTGCCGCCTGACTTCTGAAAGTAATCGTCGCTGTGTGGCTGATCAAGAATGAATCATATTTGTACCAACGGTAATCAGAAAAATGAGGAAATTTCAATCGAAATAAAAAGTAATGGCTTTGGAATTCCAATCAGAATTCAGATTCAATGAATTTATGCCGATTTCAAGTGAAATGTATAGAAAACAAGTCAGTTTTGAAGGACGGTGCAATGAGCTGCAAAATGCGATTAGACGGCGACGATCACACCTCAACTTCAGACACAATTGAGGACCAACCAACCGGCTTTAGTCTATGTCAAGCTGTAGACTGCTAGGATGCTGAGAAGAGGCGGTTTTCAATGGGAAAACTCTTAACACCTTGAGAAGAGTGGACAACAGCTATGCAGCAAAGGAAAAAGTGACCAGATCCACTTCACGAAGCGATCGTCGCTAGTTGATCGTGGAACGGTTGATCCGTTGAGGCATCAGAATTGCAAATGATCAGCGACGATGGATCTTCGGGTACTGGTTTCTACAGTCAGAATCTCATGCTGAGCATGTGAGGATTACCTTCATCGCTGTTTCGGATCCGCTATGCACATGCTTTCCATTTCAGATTGTAGCCGTATTTGAATGCGCGTACGACCTCTACGACTGTAGATAGGCTCAACCGATGCATCCGAATGCCAATACATTTTACTGGCTATTCAAGACTATTTTTTGGCCACTTTCTCAATGCATGTAACCTCCGACCTGTTTTAATATGCTCACTTTTCCAGTTTTTGCGTTTTTCCTTCCGAACGATTTCAATCTTCCGGTTCGCAAGGGTGACACCGTGTACCAGGTGAAGCCACGACTCCCACTTTCCTGGGTCTGTGTGAATTGGCCCTTGTAACTGGCGCCAGCCATCAAACTGGCTGCAATCGGGCTAATTACTCTATGTTCAATCTATTTTGCACCGATTGTTGAGGTAAACAGCGCGACCCCCATTCAGATTATTTTAGAGTGAAGTCTATGGGAACAGGACTCATGCAGGCAATTCGAGCCCCTCCTTAGTCAAGCAAATGCGTCAGGCTAGTCTTGGAACCCCAATGTACTGGCCTATCGATCCCGGATGTTCTGACCCCGTACGCATTCAATCACCTTTACACAAATGGGGACGAAGGGCTTCTGCTGTGAGGTTTGTTTATTATTATAAAGTCACGATTAATTAGACTCCTACATATATGGGCCAAGCCCACAAATCGACGAGTACTTCAAGGGCACATACAGAGCTCAAGGGCTGTTCTAAAAGGACGTCAAGTGCACGGCGCAGCCGGCATGCCTCATAGATGCATTGGTTTAAAGCAGCTATGATCCTTGGCAGTCGACAGAAATTTAATTGTGACTTACGAGGCAGAGTAGAAGAAGTCTCGTGCTTTTCAAAACCTCTTTTATTTTTTTTCAATCCTTTCTCTCGACCTTTTTCTTTTTCCAGAACTTTCTTGAGTTTTTCAGACTTTTAAGCCTTAAATCATTCCAAATANTTGGATGAATGGATATCGAATGTGTCTCAATGGATATTGAAAGGCGTTGAAAGCACCGGTTCACAGAAACTTTTTCGTTGGTCAGGCGTTGCTAATAGCGCATCCCGATTTTCTCAGAAAAAAGTCTTCGTGAAGCCCTCGCTTTTTGATAAACCATCCAACAGCATTCCATCGGAGCGTATTAGTGAATTGAAAGTACAACCCGCTAGTTCCGTCAAGCAAGAAATCCAACGGTGTCGCCGCGGTGGCGGTGGAATACCATGGAGAAGATGGTACAGGGTTGGGCCTCGAGTACAGATTCTTGGTACAGAGTACGGCCTGGTACTTGAGAATTGCGATTTTAAGCCTCTCGTTCGTGTCGCCACCAGAGAACATGCTATCCCAGGACATCCTGGATTAGAACGAGGATCGATCGGAATCATTGGCTTTTGGGTGGGGCGAAAGGTTCACTCTCCTCCACGAGGAATTCTACTTCTACTGTCCCTCGACTTCGCTACCTAAAGTTGGAAGAAAGCGGTGGGCG